CCGGGCCCGTTACCGCTGCCCCGGTCCCCGGCACTAAAACGCCCGGCAGTCGTGGAGCTCCTCGGCCCCGCCGATGCGGAGGCCCTGCAGCAGGGGGAAGGTGGCGGGCAGCTCCTCGGAGAAAGCCCCGTCCCCGGGGCAGCCGTGAGGGGGGGCCCCGTGGAACCACAGGTTCTCGTAGGGCTTGGGGCTGGGGCTGGGGTCGAGGAGCAGGGGCTGAGTGGAGTTGGAGCGCAGGTAGAGGCGAGGCGGGGCGTGCTGCTGGCCCTTGTACCCGTCGCCCACCACCTGCGCGTACTGGACGGTTTCCCCGCTCCCGCCGAGGCCCTGGCACGGCTCCGCTGCCGCCCGGCCGCGGCCCGGTGTGCCGGGTCCCTCCTGCCGCACGTAGGGCTGGGGCACGGCGGGGAAGGTGCCGGCGGTTTCGGCGGAGGGCTCCTTGCCCCAGGCGGACGGCTGCTTCCCCGACGCCCTTTCAAGCACTGCGACGGTAGAAATGGTCGCCAGGCCGGGCTCCCTCACGCCGGGGAGCTGCAGAGGCTCCTGGAGAAACGGCGTGCGGTCACGGCCTGTTTGCAGGGTGCAGCCCCTCCTCTGCCCTCCTCTTCCCAGCACCGCGGGAGGGAAGCTCCCTGCACCCCGGCTCCCCATCCCAGCATGGCCTCGCGCCCCGGGTGCCGTGCCCTCCGTGCCGAGCAGTGCCCGGGTGGGGAGTGGGGGGCTGTGGGGTGCAGCCATCCAGCTCTCACCTGCTGGAGCTCTGCCGGCACCCACTTGCCCAGGCTGCTGTTGGCGGGGTCGGGGACGCTGGGCCAGAACTGCTGCTTCACCCTGGCGGTCACAGGATGAGGGGACTCAGCGAGGGGCCCTGAAAACGGCGGCCTTGGGGCTGGCCTTGCTCCCGCCGAGCTCGCAGTGGGATGCTGCTGCTCTCCGCATCCGTCCCGTCCTTCCAGCAGCCGGGCTGCGGCCAGGGCCACCGCAGCCGCTGGGGATGGGGACTCCCAGGGCAGCCCAGCCACGTGCAGGGCCGGTCCAGCCCATCATGGCTCTTGGTACTCACCGCCCATTCTTCTGGAAGCAGATGAGCAGAAGTATAAGCAAGACAAAGATCAGCCCCAGGGTCAGGAAGAGGAACTGGATTTCGATGTCATCTGGAAAGCGGGCAGGGGAGAGGGTCAGAGAGGGAACCACAGTGAGACGCCTCCAGCCACGCTGTGCCGTGAGGCTGGGGCAGGACCTGGGGTCTGTGGGTCTCCTCCTGTCCCTACACCCCCCTCCAGGTGGCTGCACCCCCTCACCTAGCACCATGGTCACCAGGGTCAGGCTGGTGCCATTGGTGCTGCCGGCGGCCGTGGATGCCATGATGTGCACTTTGTACAGGGTTGATGGCTTCAGCTTGCGGATGACAAAGGAGCTGAGAGAGGGGTTCACGGTGGCACCTGGGGAAACACGGGCTGTTGGCACGGCGGGGGCTGCTCGGCAGGTGCCCCTCACCTGCACAGCCCCTTGGGTCTCTGCTGGCAGGGGGTCCCATATGGGACCTGCACACATGCCCCAGCCCTCTCTGACGAGGGCATGGAGTCTGCTGACGTCCCCACCCAACACATCGAGGTGGGATGGAGGGCAGGGCTGGCGGTGACGCCGGCAGGACTCACTGGACACTTCTGCGGTGCTGTTGGCCCAGAAGATGGTGTAGCTGGTGATAAAGCCGTTCTGCATCTCAACCGGCACTGGGTCCCAGCACAGCTCAGCGTCAGACTTGCTGATGCTCTTCAGGTAGAGCTTCGGGGCGTAGGATGGTGCTGAAACAGAGCAGGACAAGTGTCCAGGCACTGTGCAGAGCCGCTGTCTCGGGGTGGGGGACGTGCAGGGGGAATGCATTGAGTGGTAAGTCCCACTCCCGAGGTGTGGGTGTCAGGGCCTGCCCCATGCTGTGCCCCCGTGGGGCTCGGTCCAGCTGACAGCACCTTTAGAGATGAGCCAAGATCCAGCCTAGCGGGCTGAGCTCTTCTGCACAGCCCCTGAATTAGGGGTGCGTGGTGGGAAGGCTGACTCTCCTTTTTGAAAGGCAAAGGCTTGGTGGTGCAGAGCGAGCCCGCCGGGGCCCCGAGGGCAGCTGCTGGGAGCACACGTACCCTTCTGCTTGGAGTAGGCTGCGGTGTGGACGGGCACCCCTATGGTGTCTTTATAGAGGGGGTACACTGAGATGTTGTACCGCTGGAAAGGCTCAATGCCATCTGCAACAGAGAGCAGAGGGGGGGCCAGGGGTTTGGGGCTCTGGCTGCCAAGAGCCCCTGGCTGCCCTGCGCCTGCCCACAGCACCAGCCCACTTGCCCTGTGCCGTACCGCGGGAGTGGGTGCGGGGGAAGGGGGGAAGGTTTGGCCCTAGGGCAGTCAGGAGGGGTGCCAGATCCCCCACCCAGCTGACCAGGAGGGCAGGGCCCCCCCGGCAGCCCCCAGCTTACCCCGGATGAGGACTGCGGTGGTAGCCCCGTCACGCTCCATCTGCCAGCAAGCACTGCAGCGACCGGGCTCCGAGGACACCCGCTGCCACTCCAGGACGTAGGCAGCCACCGGGGTCGGCGGTGCCTCCCAGCACACCCAGAGGCTGCGCTCGCCCCTGGGCACGGCCCGGAGCCCAGCCAGGGGCTGACCTGCATGGGGACAACCAGCCGGGATGACAGGAGGGGGGAGCATCTCTGCTGCATTGCTCTGCTGTGCCCCCCAGCCTGGAGCCTGCCCTGCTCGGGAGCCCCCCAGTTGCACACCCAGGGAGGTGTCTCCCCCGCAGTGGGGCGATGGAGCGGCACCCAGTTTGAGAGCTTGTGGAGCTGCTGAGGCGGGGAGGGGGGGTTACAGAGCCCCAGGGGGGCATATGGAGGTCTCGGACCGTGGGAAGTTTGCACTGTCCTCACCTTTCCTCTCCAGGAGGATGACCTCGGTTGGTGCCGACTCGCCGGCTGCATTGTAGGCTGAGAGATAGACCCTCCTGGTCCCCGCTGGCGCGGAGAAGTTGCACTGGGTGTGGGTGGTGTTGCAGACAGTGGGGGGGTCCCTGCCCCTCTTCCTGGGGCTCAGGGTGACGCAGTACCCCAGCACTCGCCCGTTTGCCTCCCGCGGCCGTGGAGCCTGGGCGCAGGCAGGGTGTGCGGGGATGTTCGGTCCCCACAGGGATGCTCGGTCCCCAGGGCAATGCCCCAGCAGCCCCCGCACCCCCACCGCCCACCTGTACTCACCTTCCAGCGCAGCTGCACCTCCAGCCGCCCGCCTGCCCCGGCTGGCCGAGCGCTCCACCACGCGTCCAGCTTCCCCATGGGGGCTGCAACAGCAGAAGGGTGGCCAGAGAGCTGAGAGGGGTGAGTGTGGCCGTGCCACCGTGGCTGTGCTGCCTGGCCAGGCAGAGGGGACCCCCCCGGTGACTCCGCACCCACCTTTCTCGTGGGTGGTGTAGTTCCTGCCCGGGCTCCACTCGCTCCAGTAGCCCTGTGCCGAGCTCCGCCGGCACCGCATCTGGAAGCGGTACTGCGTGCCGAAGAGGAAGCCACAGTGCTGCATTTTGCCGGCCTGGCCGACGATGCCGGTGACCTGGTGGCAGCCGAAGCGAGGGCTGTGCTGGCTCCTGCCTCGAGCAGGGCAGAGCTCGGAGCGGAGGGGAGGGTCCTGGCTCCTGCTCGCTCACCCTCCCCGGTCCTGCTGCCCCGGCAGCACTCACCACAGCCCAGGCAGGGTCCTCTGGTGCCCGGTAGCGCAGCTCGCACTGCAGCTCCATGTGTGCGTTGCTCCGCGTCACCTCCCAGGCCAGGGCGACGCAGTCGGTCTGGAAGGGGATGGACTGGATGCTCTGCAGGGCTGGGGGGTCCAGCTTGGCTGGAGGAAGAGCAGGGGAAGGAGCTGGAGAGGTGCTGCGGCGGGCAGCGCGTGGGGCCACCGCCTCGCGTGCGGCTGCTGTTGTTAATGCTGCAAGCCGCAGCCGGGGTGCTGGCCTGCCCAAGATAAGGGACAGGGAGAAACCACCCCGAAACATTTAAGAGAATGGCTTGTGGCAGGGGCTGGTGTATGCCCCTGCCCAGGGCATGGGGCGATGCTTGGGAGCACGGTGCCAGCATTGCTCTGCAGCCTGGGCTCTGGGTGGTGTTAACGTCTACACAGGGAAAACAGATCCCGCAAGACCTGGGGTCTGGTACACGGCCAGGAAAGCTGCACTTTTGGGTCTGCCCTGGAGCAAGAGCCCAGCACGGCCATGGGAGGGCTCAGCTGGTTCATGGGCAGCCCTTTCCGTTGGTCCAGAGCAGGGAGGATGAGTCGCACCATCTGGGAAGGTTCCTTTTATAAATAGTTTATAGGAGCTGGATATATTATTAATAGACCTCCTGAATAAATGGGTAATCAATTGCTGGAGACAGTTGTAGAGTGCAGCAGGTCAACTGATGGCTCATAACCCACTGGCACACGCTGCTCAGTCTGTAATGCAGCTTTGGCACCTATTCATCCCAGCAAGCCATTTATCATAGGAACCTGCCCATAAAATATGACCTAAAAGCCTGACGTGCTTTAATGGCACTCTAATACCCCTCTCACTGCTGATGAGCTTCCCTGGCCCCTGACCTCCATGAGAAGTGGGCGGCTCTGGCTGTCACTCACCGACGTCCATGGGGTCGATGCAGAGATGCTCTGACTCGGTTGTGCCGAGGGCATTTGTGGCGGACACCCAGATCTCCATTTGCCGGTAGAGCTGGAGCAGCCGGCGTGGCACCGTGCAGCGGCTGCGGCCGCCTTGTGGGGTGCAGCCTGTCACCGCCTGGGCTCTGCTTCTGCGGCAGCGAGAGGAGTGGGCTCGGGGGTCCCTCCGGCAGAGGATGAGGCTTGCCATGTCGTTTGGGAGGGAGCGGGGGCAGGAGAAGTGGCCAGATGCCAGGGACCATATCACCCCCCGAGGCTTACCCAGCACACTTCAGTGCAACGCTGGTGGGGAGGTGGCTGTCGGCTCCCTGCTCCCACTGGCACGTCAGCCCGTAATTGCTGAGGTCCAGGATGCAGCTGAGGTTGAAAGGCTTTGCAGGTGGGTCTGGGAGAGAGCGGCCACGGAAAAGCCTGAGCGAAGCGCCCATCCCAGCTGCGGAGGAGCTGCAGCCCCCTCCATGCCCGGTTGCACAGAGCCCCGCTGCCACGCCACCGCTCCCCAAACCTCCCCTGCCCTGCAGCCTGCCCGCTGGGCACCGGCGCGCCGGGACGTAGCTGTGCACAGCCCCAAAACAGCCTCCATCAGCCATCGGCCCTGGCTGCTACTCCTGCCCCAGCGGCTTTGCCCGGCTCAGCCGGGGCAGACACGCGTCTCAGAGAGGAGACGTGCAAACTCTGGTGCCAGGCTGCACCTCTGTGAAGTGCACACGCGGGTGACCCACGGCGGCAGCAGACTTACAACCCGCCCTGATCTCGGCCATGCCGATGCGCTGCTTGGTCCCGTTCCACTCCACCCAGCACCACAGCTTGGCCTGCGTGCGGTTGAACTGGGGCAGGGTGAGGTTGGACACCTCCGTGCCCCCTGGGCCCCGGTGCTGGCTCCCGGCCACGGGCTCGTTGTCCAGCATCCAGGTGATCCAGACCTTCCCCTGCTCCAAGCCGCGGCACAGCTCGCTCTGGATGGTGCAGGACGCCGTGACGGCCGAACCCAGGGGCACAACGGGTGAGCCCACGGCCACCGAGGCACAGCCCAGGGTCCCTGCAGGCAGGAAAAAAACCGCATCACATCCAGGGCACGGCCGTGACGAAGCCATCTCAGCTCCTCGGCGCCCAGGCGGGACAGAGGGACGAGCACCTCTTCCCTTAGACGGGCCCCCCAGCCGCTGGAGAGGAAGAGCCGGGCGTTGGGCAAGCCTGCCGGCACATGCCAGGCCCCATCCTGCCAGCGCCCGCCGTGCCGCCGCCGCTCCTGCCCGCCCGCAGCAGTCCTGCGTGCCACGGCCCCGGCCAGTCGGGACGGGCGCTGGGTACATGGGAGCGGCGCGGGGCACACGGCTGCGGGACGGGACGGGTCCCACTCACCGCCTGGCCGGAGGAGCAGGAGCAGGGAGAGCCGCAGCAGGAAGGGTGTCCCGGCACCGCGCCTGGCCATGGTCTCCTCCGTGGCTTTGGCATCACCTGGAACGGAGAGAGCAGCTTGTCCTGGCGGGTCGGGAAGGGGCTGGGGACGAAGCGGGCTGGAGGAGCCATGGCTGCCAGCGTCACCGACGCTTCCTGGAGCAAAATGTCCTTTTGCCGTCAGATGCAGCCTCTCCCCCCGAAGCCTTTCTGCAGCGCTGACACCTCCGCCCCCGCGCTTGGCAGCCCACGCTGCTGCAGGTGCCGGCGTGGAAAAGCGCACCGGTGAGGTGATCTGGCGGGGGCCCCTCCGGCACAGCCTCCCACCGGCTCTCGGCCCCGCGCAACCCGATCCTGGGGCACAACGCCCCATGCCTGGCTGTGGGCACCGGCTGATTTTATCTCAGGTATCTTCAGCCTCTGCCGGGCAGAGATTTGCGGTTTCAGGGAGGGTTAGCGCTGGGGCTTGGGGCGGCAGAGCTGATAAGCTGAAAGAGGGAAACGAATGAACGACGGCAGTGCAGTGGGGCTGGCCAGAGCGGTGGGGTCCTGCCTGCACCCCCTCCCCTGTGTCACCCCCTCCCCTGTGTCACCCCCTTGCCTGCTCTGGGAATGGCCCCGGGAGCGGTGGCTGCCTCTGCCCCTGCCCGGCCACCGGCTTATCCTCTGCCCTGGGTTGGTCCCGGCCGTGTCCTTCGCGGTGCCAAGGAGGGGCTGCCCACCCTGTGCCCGGCTCTGGTTGCCCACGGCTCCTCTCCCCTCCCCGAGCTGCCATCCAGAGGCAGATGAGGGACTGGAGCATGGGAAATGGGGGAGCAGCCACCCCCGAGCACCCAGCACATGTGGCTCTCCCAGGCAGGGGACACGGCAGAGCAGCCTGCGCGGCCACAGACAAGGTGCTCAGCCAGACCCGGGCACTGCACAACCCATCCCTACCTCACCACCATCCCTACCTCGCCTCCATCTCTACTTCTCCTCCACGCCTGGTGCGTCCGGCCGCCGCTCACCGCCTGCTCCGAGCGCCGGCCTCCGGCTCCCGGCAGCTCGCCGTGCTCAGCCCGTTTGCTAACATGCTGCTTTCACCGTTAGTTCCTCAAAACCAGTGCCGTTAATTGCTGTGACTCTCTGAAGAAGGTGATTGCAAAACACTTCCCTGAAGGCTGTGACTGCCTCGCTCGCTGCAGGAAGGAAAGCCCAGCGGCACGCACACATCCAGCAGCGGGGAGCAGCACCCGGCCTCGCCTCCCACCCTGCCTGCTCCAGCAGACGGGACGCGGCGCAGCTGGGATGCGGCGCAGCTGGGATGCGGCACAGCCGGCTCCTTTCTGCGACTCCCCTGGGACCACAGGGCTGAGCTGGGGGACAGCGCAGGGGGACACGGGCTGGGGGACATGGGACCAGAGGGCAGGAGGCAAACCCAGCCATGGCTGCCAGCGCAGCGTGGTGCCACCTGGGTGCAGCTCGCATCCCCCAGTCCGCTCCAGTATCCTCGCCGGGCGCTCACTGTGGGGGACTGGGCTCATCCCTGTATCCTCGTCCCTCCGAGCTTCAGCCCTCTCCTGGGATGTGCACGCCAGCCTTACTCCCCCGGTCCCTGGGGACGGCACCGCTGCCCCTTGCAGCCAAGCCTGGGCTCTTTCCTAAAGCCCGGCCCTGGGGAGAGCCACCCTGCGAAACTTTGTTGGATGCACGTTGTCCACGTTCCCACCACGCAGCCCAGCTTGCCCCAGAGTGCGGGGACCCGTGAGATGCCCCAAGGGCAACCCGAGACCCGACCTTCCCACTGGGACCTCCCCAGGCCAACCATTAACTTGGGTTCTTCCAGCAGCAAATTGCCCAGGGCCCTGCCCAGCCGCCCCAGTGGGGCTCACCGCTGGGACACCGGGCAGCTCTGCCCACCCACGCCGGGCTGCCATCACAGCCCCCGCTGGGGAACCCGTGTCCTGCGGGACGGGACCCGAGCATGGGGGTAAACAGGGGATTGCGCAACCCGCGACGCATTCGCAGCCTCTGCAACGGAGGCGGCTGTTGTGCAAACAGCTGTTTACTACGGGATTTGTAGCACGCATTTCACCTCCAGCGGCGTGTTACTCAGCGCTCTCGCAATGCCATGCTGCAAACAACTGCGAGGCCAGCGCAGCCCACCCCAGCCTGGCGTCCCCGGGGAGGCAGGGGGGCCAGGGACCATTGGGAGAGCAGCCAGGGGGAGACGCACTCCCAGCATCGCCTCCCATGGAGCCGGGCTTCTGGCCGGAGCGAGATGGCCCCAGGGCTGCGGCCAGCCGCCTCGCAGCCCCGACAGACCGAGCAAAGGTTTTTTCCCCCAAAATTTCCTCTGCCCAGGGCCCCAGCCCCATGCCCAGAGCTGCTCACCAGGGCTGCGCAGGGCTGGGGCACGGGGCCGATTCCCACCGCCGCTGACCTGGGGCAGGGGAGCTGCCCTTGCAACATTTCCCCGGGGGTGTAGCAACCCCCAGTATTTTGGGACGGAAGCAAGAGGCTTGCAGGCTGTTTACCAGGAATATCCACGGGTAGCCATGGCGACGTGGGCATCTCCGTGGGAACCGGAGGGCAGGCAGAGCTGCAAGCACCCAGCTGGACACAAACAAGCGCTGTCCTCCCCGTGACCCCCCCGCTGCTGCCGATGGGGCTCCACCGCAGGGTAAGGTGCGGTGGGACCCCCCGTCCTGCTGTGCCGAGGGGACCGTGCAGCCCACCCCAGAGCACGCCTGCCCTCGGGCTCGCCTCGCCCCATGCTCCGCAAGGAAAGGATTTGTCCCCAAGGATGCTCAGAGCGTGCCGAGCTGTCGGTGCATGGCTTTCGGCATGGTGCCCGGGGCAGTGGCCCCTTTTCGAGATCAGGGATGGAGCAGACGTGCCCCCATGACGATGCTCTCGGTTCCCCTTTGGCTCTGAGTCACTCTCACAAACCCACAGATCCCATCCTTGGGATGGGACAGGGGGACAAGAGGCAGGGTGCCATCCCGGCAGAGCACCCACAGCCAGAGCCGCAGGTCCTGGCCAGCCCAGCGGAGGGGTCCCGGAGGAGCTGGGGCAGGAGGACAAGGCGGAGGGAGGCTGCCAGGGTGCAAGAGCCGGCTGGGTGACAGAGGGTCCTGTGGGATGAGGCTGTGGCAGTGCAGAGGCAGGCGGTGACACGGGGCCATGGTGCGGGACAGGCTGGGGAGCACTGTTTGGAGGGAGGGTGGGTGCTCGTGGCCCGGACAAGGCACGTTTTGGGGTGAGTGGCGGGGTAGTGGGCTCCCAGTCCATGGCGCAAGAGCCCCCCTCCCACCCGGGGCTGCCTGGCAAAGGGGAAGGTGGAAAGGGGAAGCGGCCGTGGGGCTTTTCCTGGATTGCAGTGCGTGGGAAGGGGACGGATGGCACTGGGCAGCAGCCCACCCGCATGCCCAGACCCCTCAGGCAGCTCTAGTCGCAATCCGCAGCTAGCACTGGAGGCGACAGACAGGGATGGATCCGGACCCTTCCCGTCACCGCAGCGCGGAGGCACCACTGACTCTGCCACCGCCACCCCGGGGCAGAGCAGATCCCATCACAGGGGAGGTGTGAAGCGGCTCCATTCCCCGTCGCGGCTGCCGAAGCTCCCGCCAGGCTCTGGGCGTGATGCAGGGACCCCCATGTGCCCCACTGCCGACGAGCCATCCGCTGCCGCCGTGGCCTCCTGGGTGCCGGGACAGCGGGGCCGGCAGAACCCCACCGGCCAGCACCACTCTCCCACTGCTCCCCATGGTAAGTGCTGGGGCAGTTGTCAGCTGCCTCCATTTCTCAGGCGTGTGTTATCAGCACCTCTGATTTAATCCCTGCTGGGTGGATCACTGCTATTAAGCAGAATAAAGTACATTACCAGCTTGTATCAGCTCAGCTGTCAGCAAGAACCGGCCTCCCAAAAGAGATTTTTCCCTTTCTTCTTTTCATTCCCTAAAAAAAATAAAATATTGCCAGTCATGTAAGATGCAAGATCTAAGTGCAAAGTCTGCTGTAGTCTCTAATGGATGAGGAGAGCTGTTTAATTGCAGCCCAACGTGAGTAATTCAAACAAACCACCTTGTTCAGCTGTCAGCAATGGGGAGGGAGCAGATGGCTCCTGGCCAAGCCACCCTGCAGGCAGGCAGAGGTGGTAGGGGGGAGACCCTCGGCTTGGCAGCACAGGGGTACACAAGGGGACGCGGGGAGTCCAGGCTGCCAGCCGCCCTGGGGAGGGGAACCCAGCCGGGACCCTCCCATGTCCGCAGGCTCTGATCTGGAATACCCAATGCCCGAGCACCGGGGATGCCCAGGGTGCTCGTCCCAGGGTGCTCGTCCCAGGGTGCTCGTCCCTACCACGTGCCGCTGCCACCCTGCTCCTCCCCAGCAAGGCGGCTGCAAATTGGAGAGAATTGATTACAGGGGTCTGAGAGGCTGACCTTGAACAAGGCTCCTGACACATTACTGTAATTAATGAGGCAGGAGGATTAATTTTCCATGTTGCGGGAACCTGGGGAGTCCCTAGTGGGCATGGGGAGGGGGAGGACGGGGCGAGAGGGGCAGAGAGCTGCCTGTGCTGCCTGCCATAATTCATCTCTAATCTGCAAGACACCGAAAGGATGCCAAAGGGCTGCAGCTCCAGCACGGGAGAGCAGTCCTTTGGATGGATGGGCGAGAGGGAGAGAGATCTTCCATGGGACCATGTAAAACTTGCATGTCCCTAAATTATTGGCTCTGTTGCCCAAGTGTCTGCAGCAGAGGAACCTCCCTGTGTCTGACAGCTGAGCCCCGTGCCAGCCTCTCATCCCCTGATGCTCCTGGAGATTCCCACTCCTTTTTGCCAAGATGCTCCAGAGCTCAGACACGTGGAGCATCTTCTCCCTCTGCCATTGCTGAAAAGAAATTTCCCTTTGGTGCTGCCCCTTATCAAACCAGCTGGGCAGGGGGATTTTTGCTCTCCCCCCCCATCCCACCATGACCATGGTGCCAAGCAGCACGTCTGATCCCAGCTACCAGGGATGCACGGCCGACTTCTGGCACTTCCCGGCAATCAGGCTGCAAGCACAGCGCTATTATTTTTCTGCTCTAATAAACACCCCTGACAATAATAGAGAAAATCAGCTTTTATCGGGAGAAAAAATATATCTGGAGATTATTTACTCAGAGTCAATAGTTGCAAACGGAGGCGTTAGCCCAGGCAGGCGCTGACAGCCGCTCGCTGTTGGAGTGGCTGGACCATTGCATGGAAACGGGGCAAAACCCTCCCAACAGATCCCCTGCTTGCTCCCGCTATATAAATACACCATTTCAGCTGTGCTCTGCAGGAGGACCCTCAGCATCCCCCATCCGTTTTACCCTGGAACAAGCTGCAAGGGCCAGGAGAGCTTTGGGTGCTCCAGCAACGGGGGTGGGAGCAGCTGCAGGGCTGGAGCCCGGCTTGGAGCGGGTCACCTCTCATCTGCCGAAGGCTCAGGTCTGCAAGAGCAGGAAATTCATGGTCAATTGAGTTGCAGCTAATCATAAAGGGCAATTAAATGACTGCTTCTTGAGGGCTATAAACATCACCGATTTAAATCCAGTGACACACGGAAATAGGAATCCAACCAAGCAGCCTCCAAAAGTGCTTTATTCCCCATTATTTTCATTAGCTGGCTTGTAATTTGATTTGTCTCTCTCCTGCTGCTGGCTTTTTCCACAGCCAACAGGAGCGACAAATGAAACACGCTCAAACTCACAAACCCCGACTGTGTCCACGTGGGTCAGGAGTGACACAGGTCCTCCGGCTCCTGAAAAACGGCCACGTTTGTGTCCTGTGAGAGGGGACTGAGGGGTCGGGGTGCCCAGACCGTCCCCGCTGGCGAGCCCCTGGCACCGCGGCATGCCATGCAGCCTGCCGGGACGGCTGTGCGGGGCTGAGCCCTGTGCTGCCGGAGTCACCGTGTCCAAGCGCTCTGGGCATGGGGGCAGAGCCCAAAGCTACAAACCAGGCAGGGGACCCCCCATCCCTGCTGCAGGGCAGGCCTTATCCCAGGAGCAGCATGCCAGGGACGTCACCTCTGCTGCTGTTGTCACAAGCCTGGGCTGGCTTGTTTTCTGCAAATTCCAATTA